TAAACGTAGTGTCAGGCAAAGTGCGACGTTGATTCTTTGTAGATGGTTTTGAGAAACCTTACAAGCTATAAGTGACACTGGTGTGTCGATAAACTTTATTCGAGCACAAGTTATGACTGGTCGAGGTGTTAGCCTGCCCCAAGGTTAAACAAAAATGACCATTTGTTTAGCGATTTGATCTACGATGAGAAGTCATAGGACGTCAGTCCCTTAGCAACGAAGTGTGAGGATTTTCGAGATAAAGACGAGTTTATCCCTTTCAACCTCGAGAAAAAGCTTGATAACATCCTAGGTATGCCATGGTTAAAGCATGATCAGCCTAACGCTGACTGAATGAAAATGAAGATCGTCGTTAACAAGTCGTGCAGCGCTAACTCTCGCTGCATGATGACAAACACAAGAGTCATCTATTAAAGAAGTTTTCAATGTCCCAAGAGATATCAAGGTGTGCGATGGCTCTCATGTTTGCAGGACAAGTCCGAGAAGACGAAAGTAACGACACCAACTGGAGGTGGAGCTCTCAGGCAAACTGTCCCCTTTGGCATCGACATGGAAGTCATGTGCGATGGTAGTATAAAGAATATTAAGCAAAGCCCCGTCCCAAGAGAAGAAAAAGAATTCCACCAAGAGCGTTTTCCGTCAAGTGTTTTGCGTACCCCTGATCAAGGTACAAGTTGTATTAATGAAGGACAAATTCAAGTTAAGACACTTCGAGTGAGTTTGTAAATACTATGGCCTACAACGAAGAAGGTGATGTGTTTCTGCAGCTATCCTCAACCGAATGTAATTTTACTATACAATAATTTATTATAATTTGATTAACTAATCCATGAATGATTTTTAGGTGGGGTGGTAAATAAGCGTGCTGTATATTAATTCATCATCGTAATTGAATGAGGGAATAAGTATTGGTTATCATGAAGATGATAGAGCTCCAAAAAGGAGAGAGGCCCAGCGTACACGTGTACTGCTAGCGCACTTTTAAGAAGAATAAGTAAGAAATGCATATTTTTAATAGTCTCAATACCTTCATTTCACATGCATGTACTTTTGAACTAGCTGACGGTAGAGGTTTTGGTTTTGGCTGCTGAAAGGACGTACAAGTTCAATCTCTGTGCGTTTCTTAACCTCGGAAGGTAGAAACAGCGTTTGTTCCAAAGTTTAATGTAATGTCGTTGTATTTTTCTTGTTTTTCAAAATCAAAAGTAATAAACATTACGTATTTTTAATAATAACAAAGTTAAAAATAATAAAAAAAAAAATTTTACCCTGTTAACAAGAAAGCCTTATTGACTGTAATAACGAGCTAAAGCAACGACTAAAATTTAAGTACACAACAGGGGCGTTTCTGTACCCTGCACGACTTAGTAAACGAACAACTCATATGAATCTTTTTAATGCAGCAATCACACCAGCGATACGTGATTTCGTGATTTTCTTTTTTCCCATACCAATAGCGAAATATTCAGCCAGGTACGATGGATCTTCAGTCGGCGCGTGAATTTTAAATCCTTGCTGAAAATGCTGATTGCCCCAATGAAGTAATTCAACCAATTTATGAAAAAGATGATCATCACGAATAAGCTGGTTAAAATCTATATCATACTTTCGTAATCCATGGAAAAAGTTATAACGGAGACCTTCAGTAGTAAAATCCATTTTGAGTAATTATTCAAACTCATCTTTCGCCAGCGGCTTCAATTTCGTCAATTCCGCCTTTCGAGTATCCCAAAACCTAAGGGGAAAGAACATGATTTTTTTTATCTGCTGAGCGTCCTCCTGAGAGCCTGGCCTCAACAAGATAGTCTTTCGTTTCGTGTCGTTGACGGCAGTCGTAGATCCCACAGCACAATTCTCCATAAGTATGGCTGTAAGTCCGACCAGGATCAAAAATGCACACATCGGCAAGTGACAGGAAGAAGTAGTGTCGTGTGATTCAAGTCGGGAATTGAATAATGTTTTTTGTTCGTCGTCGTTTCTCTCACTATCTACCAGTGGTCCACACGAAAAAGGCAAAGCGAAAATTACAATGACCATTTATTTATTGAAACAAACATAAAGAAGATTAGCGGAATTTATGTAAGCGGCGTAATCACCGACCATTGGATAGAGCAGTGACATATAAGAAGCACCATTTTTCAGCTTTTGAGAATCAGGCAAGGTCGACAATCTTGCAAATAGTGCCACGATCAAAAGCCAATCCGTAGACAAGTGTGGTAGCTGCACAGACCCTTTTGCAATACTTGATCTACGAACGGGATCACTTCATATCTTTGTACACGGAGGGAAAGGGAAAATAATCCCTTCTTTCTCGATTTGCGCATGATTTTAGAGCTTTGTCGCCCGCAACCCATAAAATAAGATTCAAAGAGATAAAGTGAAGATCGGACGCAATCAACACATTCGTTTTGTC